AACTGCATGACAGTGTATGTTTTGTAACTGGCTCCCTGTGCTACTTATTGTGATTTTGAATTAAGTCTGAACGTCAATTTCCTTTAATGTGCGGTAGGGTATAGTTGCTGCACAAGCTGCCTAAGATTACTCTTTTTGATATGTTTCTGGTGGGAAGATGTAAGAGACTCAGTGATATAATCTTGGAAGTAATACTACCATCATTGCAGTGGCTGAACAGACCCATCACCACTTACTCAGCAAAACCAAGGATAGCAATAAATGTGGTTTTGTCAGTGGTGTCTACGTCCTGATCACAGTTTTAAATATGTTTCTTATTTTAAGAAGGAAACATTATTAAAGTGGTCAAATGAAAACTGAGCATTGGTTTCTAACTCTTGGCAAGTTACTGGATATGATTGTGTGTGTGTGTGTGTGTGTGTGTGTGTGTGTGTGTGTGTGTGTGTGAGAGAGAGACAGACAGACATAGTGTTTGTAATTAAAATCTGAGCTCACAACTGCATACTGACCAGGACTGCAAGACAGTTAGCACTGCAGCATTGCATCTCAGCAGAGTCAAAACTGAGAGGAAGAAGGAGAAGTAACTACTGAGATAGTATATGCAATGCTATAATTTTAATCTTAGTTTTAATTATTGATTATTAGTGCAGTGGTGAACTTAAAAATGCCTTTATAAATCCATTTGTCTGTTAAAATTATGGAGGAAAAATATCCCTAGCTTATGGTAATCACATAAAGAATAAAAATGTCAGTTTATGCCACTGGGAAAACATCCCTTTCTTTTGTGACAGCTGTTTTGAAGCTAGCTATTTTGGGAGCTGCAGTTATTCAATTTCTGTTTTAGTTGCCAGGTTTTTTTTTGAAAAATCTAGCTGGCTAAGTCCTGCAAGTATAGAATTTCAATGATATTAGTAACAATCAATGGTGGGACAGCTTCACACTTGCTTTTTAATAGTCTGAACTTTAGAAGGGAGAAAAGAACGCTCTGAAGTTTTTTGGGTAAGAGTAGGACAGAAAACAATAGGATGAGTTTAGTTCCCTAGGGACATTGGTTATTTCATCCCTGAGTTTGTGTTGTAGCTGTTCCATTTGAAAGTTGGAATTCTAGATAGCATTTGTAATTCGGACACAGATTTAACCTGCTGAATATTAAATTTCATTTGCTCTTTGTAGAGCCATGTCCTGTTGTAATTACCTACAGCGAGTGCAATGTGAATAATGTTAACTGTTAAATGATGCTGTATCAAGGGATCAGGTTGCCATATTTCCAGTGGGCCATAGGGCTGCTTGCTCGCTCATTAGAGAGACTGGTGGTAAGTTTACCTGAGGGCCACTACACTTCAGGCACGGGGTAAGGTTGCGAAGGTGGGACCTTCATGGTGACCTCAACCAATATGGGAATTGAATTTGCACTTCCTTCTAAACTAACTGACAACCCCTCCCCACCTCTTCCCCCATGTAAATGAGACATAGAACAAATTACTTGGAGGTTACCTGAGTAATTGGTGGTACGTTTTCTGAAATCCAATAAGTGGTAATTAATTTTCAGAACATTGACAATTATGCTCAGTAAATTTAAATTATTTTCTCCCTGTCCTCCTCCATCACCTGGAAGTGGATTATTTTGTGCAAGACTCAGATTTACAAGAGGTTCACTGAATTTTCAGTGCCTAATCCATAATGTTGAATGTCTTAGTAAATAGAGATTTATAATCACCTAACAAATGTTCTGAGCCAGCCTGATCTTTTTGAGTTGAAGTTATATCAGTATGATGGCTTCGTCATCAATACGGTATGAACTGGTGCCAGTGTTGTATTGGAGAACTCTAGAAAAGGAATGACTTGCCAAGGTTTAATTAGCTTGCTCCTAGAAGCCAGTTATATGGAGGAGATGACAGAGGGAATAATGCAGTTGTCTGCCTTTTGTTTAAAGGGGTCTACAGGGTAGAAAGTGAAAAATACGTGGAAGTGTGACAAATATTCAAAAGCAATCTCTAAGAAGTTCTACAATAAATCCACAGATTGTGTGTATTTACCTCCACGATACAGAAATGCATAATCTTCAATCTTTGCAGATATTGTTTATAACTTCAGTCTTTTAGCAACTTTGTTTTTTCCTCACCTAACTTCTACTCTCATGCAGATGTTGATGCACATTGACTCATGTTCTCTTACTGGTGTAGCATCACACTGTTCTATACATAATTCCAATCTATTGAAAATTCAAACTGCCAGAACATGACTCAACATTTGGCACATGATTAAATAGTTTGATAAGTAGAGATTTACTAATTTAGAAAAAGGACTGAATTCCTAGTTAACTTCTTGTCTGAGAGCCTAGCAGCATATTTTGGGTCCAATCCAGTAACTCAGTTGTACGTATTCATTTTATTTGAGGCTGGATTTGGTATGTGTAGAGAGGAGGAAATATTAGAATCAAAGGAAGACGTTTTAAGATACAGGCAAACAGCAAACTTTTCAAACTTATCAGAATTAAGTTGTCAGGTTTCTAGTAAGTAAGGGCAAGTACTCCTGCTTTTGACCTTCCCCTTGACCTGTTCATCCAAATTTAAGAGAAGCCCATTTCATGGCCTTTTACGTCTTGGCTTCAATAGAAGCACAGTTTAGCAGCTTCACTACATCATCCTTTTTGAAGTGAGAATAGTGGTTTCTCTGAAGTAAAAACAGAAATTGCTGGTGAAACTCAGCAGGTCAGGCAGCATCTCTGGGCTAAAAAGCAAAGTTAACATTTTGAATTCGGTGACTCTTCATCAGGACTGTTAGCTAGGAAAAAGTGGTATTTATGCTGAAGGTGAGGGTGGGGGGGGGGGGGGGGAAGGGAAGAGGATAAGTGTAGATGGAACCCAGAGATAGTGAAAAGGGTAGGTAAACAAGGAGGTGACACTTGTTTATCTACACTTTTCATATCTCTGTCTCCCACCTCTCTTTCTCCCTGCCCCACCTTTGTCTTTCTGTCGCTGGACTCAACACATTAACTCTGCTGTCTTCCCACAGATGCTGCCTTACCTGTGTTTCACCAGCAATTTCTGTTTTTGTTTCAGTTTCAGGTCTCCAACATTCACAGTCCTTAGTTTTATTTTTGTTTCTCTGAAGTATGTCTTCAATTTACTCAGTATTTTGAATTCCTTTTGTCCTGTAGCCATGCTTTTTCTTTCTCTTGTACTCTAACTCAGACTGTTCTGTGTCACAGAAAACCCTTCATACCAGTCAGGGTGTAACAGATAGGAAATTTTCATGTTCCAGTCTGAATTGAAAATAAGATTTTGTTTTAAAGTGGAAAACAATAGCTCACAGCATCTAATTTATCCAGCATCCATTGCAGCAGATGTACATTTTCAGAATAGATTACAGTACATGAACAGTTTTGAAAGGATACAGACAAATCATCTGAGCAGGTGATATGTTGAATCTAAAGTGAGATGCCAGATGAACTAGCCTTTTTCCTTTCTACCTGTGTCTACTACTGCAGTTCGTTTAGGAATACTTTACTGTCCTTGTGTGCAACCTTTAAAGTTACTAGAATTTATCATTTTTATGACTTCAACTAAAGGGAGAGCATCAGGAGCTGGAAGTAAAGAGAAAGTAATGTGATATGAGAGTCTTCAATGACCTGGAAATCTGTGTCTTTTGTTGCATTTAAATTAAAGCTTTAAAAGTTCTAAGAGTAAACCTTCAAACTCTGGATAGTGTTCTTCTGTTGACTTCATTGTTTGCACTGTGACAGACAAATCTAGCTCAAAAGAAGATGATAGTTGAAGCAGAGTTCAGAGTATCTGTGATAGGTGTGTTTTCAAACAATGGTTCAAGTAAGTAGAAAGATTTGGGACATCAGTGCTTTGCTGCTCGTACAGGCAATTGGCACTCTGTGTTCTCGTAATGCAATAACCGTTTTGAAGTTCTTTTAATATCAGAAACATCCTATTGTGCTTCAAAGTGTAACTAAAATAAATGTCACTGAACCAACAAAGAAATTTTGACTGTTCACTTGGTCAGAGCAGTAGGCAGTTCAATAATTTAAGGAAAGTTGCAATTTCTTATTTTGCAATAGCTTGAGAGAGTTAACTGCCCTCCAAATCAAGATTGCGATCTCAGTACTGCTGACAAGTCTAGAAGTGTAGGCCATGTGCCGATATTGATGTTGGTGGGGCCAAATATGAGGAATAAAATCTGTTTACCCAGTGAGCACTTGTAATTTCACCAGTGGTGGAGCTCTGTTGAGGAGGACAGTCACCATGTCATAGGGGTGGTAGCATGCAGAGAAGTTGATTATTTCCCTATAGATATTCAGATGCAAGACCAGACTCCAGTACTGACTTAGAATTCTAATTCTAACTCTAATCAAAGGAAAAATGTCAAATTGCCTTTCAAATTTTTATTGATGCTGTGTCTTAGCTTTATTACTTCCTCAGCTGCAGCTTTGTTGCTTTTCTTGTTCTTTATCTCGACCACCACCCCCATCAACTTCACAACTTTTTTTTCCACATCCAGTGTCATGGCACTTTTTTATTCTTTATCAGGAAATCAATTATGGAATTTCTTATCTCAATCAGTCTTGCCTTCCTCCTGCAATGTACAGATTTTTAAAAAACGTTCTAACTTCCTAAGTGGCCATTGTTTTTAAGTGTTTGTACTGTAATTGGTCAAGGTTCTGTCTTTCAAATGAGACATCAAGTTGATGTACCACCTAACTGTTCTGCCTATCCCATGTGTTTCGACATCAACTGGCCTATGGAATGGAGGATTCAATAGAGCTCATTTAAGTGGTGGCTCATGAGTTGAGAGGGATTCATGTGCTGTTATTATTAGTTAAAGATGGAGGTTCTATTAAGTTTTGGTCTTTGCAAATGTTTTGGGCACATACTTTGCTGAATTGGAAGGTAATTATCTATCTTAATAGAAGATTCCTGCCAATACAACTATCCATGTACATAGCATGCCCTAACTCTTTCACTAATGTTCACTGTTTTAATTTATTTTAGTGTATGCATGAAAAAGTCAACAGGAGAACGATTTGCACTAAAGATTCTCCTTGATCGTCCAAAAGCAAGAAATGAGGTAAGAAAATTTGTTTTAAAAATATAATTAATATTACAGTGGCTCCCTGCTAGACTATTAGGAAGTTCCTTTTTATGACATGGTGAATAGATTCTCTTTCTCTTTGAGAAATTTAATTGCGGTAAGACCTCAATGTTCTTTCTGTGGTTTAAAGACCCTGCCATTCATACTGAAGAACGTCTTTACTACTTGTATGCATCGGCCCTGTTCTGATGCTGCTGGACCCACTGAATGCCACCAGCACTTGCATTTTTATTTCAAATTCCAAAACCTGAAGTTGTAACAACGAATTCTTAACAAAGTATTTAGTTTGGGGAACGAGTGGTATAAATTGATTCGTATTTGAGTTTACATGATGAGAAATCTACAGTAAAATAACTTTGATATTGTGAGAAGAAATAAAGCTATAAAATATTCTTTACATGATATTTTTATATATTTTTTGTCTTGTTTCCAGGTTCGACACCACCTGATGTGTGTAGGCCACAACAATATTGTTCAGATTATTGAGGTTTACGCTAACAGCGTTCAGTTCCCCCATGAGTCCAGTCCAAGGTATGTCTCAATAACCAATAATGAATTAGAAGGTGAAATAAACTGCCAGGTAGTTCATTATGTACGGAAGTTATAATTCAATTTAGAATTGAAGTGCACTAATTGAGAATTATAAAGCGCAATAAGCGAGAGGTTGATGTGGAAATTTGGTTCAAAACCATTTCTAGTTGACTTGATATCTTGACTGGAAGAGACCTACTTGAAAGGTAATTTAGACAGCCTCAACATAGTTCTTAGCAGTGTCTATAATTCCCAACAAATTTAGATTATCAGTTTTCTAAATTCAGATTTTTTTTCTTTGCTAAGTACAAAAATGGAAGATTGTTTAGCATCTGCAATTTCTTACACAAGGAAGTAGGAAAGAAAGTGTTCTCATTCACGTTTGTCCTCTTGTTTTGCTCCTGGTTTCTCTCTTTATTTTCTGCGTTCTCTGTCTTCTTTTTAAATATATACTTTATCGTTTAAATACTCTTGCACTAAATTCAACTATGTTTCATAATCTCCAGGCCTCGGCTGCTAATTGTGATGGAAATGATGGAAGGTGGGGAGCTATTTCACAGAATCAGCCAACACAAGCACTTTACAGAGAAAATGGCAAGCCAAGTTACTAAGCAGGTGAGAAATGCGTCATTATTATAGGTGGAGGTGAACTAAATCTATCTGGCAATAGAAAAGTCAAGTTTCCTAAAACATCTACAGACCTAGGCTCTACTTACTTGTGCCTAACTGGGGAGTGTAGAGGATCAAGCGTGCAATAGATGTATTTGTGCTGTTTCCAGAGCAGAAGAGTTTTGATTCTTAGTTCGGCTGTTTGTCAGAAAGCAAAGATGTGAGTATCAACATGGGAAGGGCACATAGGGTGGGGAGATCCAGGTTTCTTCAAGCATGCATCTTTTGTTCTTGACAGGTTTGTGCCCAAATGTGAACCTGATTTGAAGGAAGACCAGTTCAAGATGCAGGGGGAGATGATTCAATCAGGAGGGAGACTGTCTGAATCTAGGGTCTTTGTATGGTGCACTTGCACTCTGCTGACCGACAACCATGCCGCAAAGAAACTTGCCTTCTCTCCAAAACTGCTTTCCCTGCATTTTAAGCTTCTAGGTTTCTGAAGGCCTGGAAAACTCAATTAGTTTCTGTCAAGTCTGAGGCTGACAGCCTCAAAATATTTAAATAGCCAGCCACATCACCCCTTGTTTTTGCTTCCATTAAATCCAGAAGTAGGTGTCTTGGAATCTGATTTCAGATACTTGACATCTGAATGTCTCCAAAAAGTCCATTTTGGGTTTTAGCATTTATCAAGTGTTCCCTTAGATGGGGTCAATTCAAAATGTAATTCTTCAGTCACTTGAGTTTCCTGCAGTCAACTAATTCAAGGCTAGAGTTGGTAGATGACTAGGAGCATGTTAATTAGACATTTACTTGAGAGAAGTTAAAAATAAATTGTGGGTAAAAGATCAGTAATAAAGTCAACAGTCTGATAGCTAAGCAATTGGACTGGGACATCTGTCTGTCTGAGCTCGATGTATATTTTGATTTTTCTAGCCTGGTTGTCTAAATAGGCCACTCAAAACGTGGAGGTAACTTTTTTGCCATGATTTAAGTTTATTTCTCAATTTGTTTATTAAAGTGTAATTGGTGGTTGCTTGTGCAGTTGTGTTATTGCATCCAGAGAAGTGCAAGATAGTACATACAAAATAGTTCTGCTCTTGTTTGTTTTACCACAATGCAATACCTTGTATTTATCCAAATTAAACTCCATTTGCCACTCCTCAGCCCATTGACCCAATTGATCAAGATCTGTTTGTTATCTTAGGTAACCTTCTTCACTGTCCACTATACCGCCAATTTTGGTGTCGCCTGCAAACTTACCAGCCATGTCTGGCAGCATCTGTGAAGAAAACAATCAGAGTTAACGTTTCGGGTTCAGTGACCCTTCCTCAGAACTGAGAACTCCAGTTCTGAGGACGGTTCACCGGACCCGAAACGTTAACTCTGATTTTTTTTCCTGCACAGCTGCTGCCAGGCCTGCTGAGCTTCCAGCAACTTCTATTTTTGTTCCTGATTTACAGCATCCACAGTTCTTTCGGTTTTTAAGTGACGAGCCATGCCTACTATATTCTCTCCTAAATCGTTTATATAATTGACAGACAAACATGGGCCCATTATTGATCCCTGTGGATCAGAGGCCTCCAGTTCGAAAAACAACCCTCCACCACCACTGTCTGTCTCCTACTGTCAAGCCAATTTTGTATCCAATTGGCAATCTTGCCCTAAATCCCATGTGATCTAACTTTACTAATTAGTCTACCATATGGAGCCTTGTCAAGTGCTGTATTAAGGTCATGTAAACAACGTCTACTGGCAAGTGATACTGTCCAGATTTTTACATTAGGAAATACACAAGCATTTTTCTCTTTGTTGCAGCTCTTAAGTTTTTGAATTTCATCTCAATTCTAATCATCTTGACGAGACTGAGTTTTATCGATACATGTACTTGGGTACGGTGAAAAGTGTACAGTCACCATTTCCAGCGCCATCTTGCGTACAAAGATGCTTAAGTATAAAATCTTAGGTATAATATTATATGTTTCAGGGATGGTGTAGTACAGATTTAGTGTATATGTAGGGTACTATTGCATCTCTCAGACTCTCTAAGCACATCACATGCAGTAACTAACATGTAGATAGCAGCCATTTGCACAAAGTCCCATTAACATGAGTTTGGCAAAGATAGAGTTTGGAGACTTCTGGTTAGGATATACACCAAAAGCTCTCTACTCTTTCAATCATGCATTGGATTCTTTTATATTCACCTCATCAACCAACAAGTGGATGATTTGCCATTTACTCCTTACGATAATGTCTCCAATAACACAACTCCTTGTCACATACTAAAATTTTAGTTATGCTATCTTAAGAGCCAACTTTTAACTTACCTTCTGAAAATAAAAATACCTCTTAAAATACTATAGTTGAAGCATTTCCTTACTGCCCAATTTTAAGCATGCTTAACATTTTTTTTGTTAGATCTGTGTTGAATAAAAAGTTTAACCTAAATTTTGAACTGTTTTTGGGACCCTCTTTCATATTGCATTCCTCCAATTTGGAAATGTTTATACAGGTAACTGAGATAGTAAAAGGCAATTAGAGATGGGTAATAAATACTGGCCTGCCAGCCAGCAAATTTTAAAAAAAAAAAAATTCTCTGGGAGGAAAGCCGAAGAAATATTTAATAGCACACAAAAAAAATTATGAAATAGAATGTGGGATGTGTTTTGTATAAAACTATAAAGAATTTATGTCAGAAGATTATTATCTTCAGTTAAGGCCACTAGTATCTTAACCACACCAGGCTGGTATTGAGGGAATTTCTTCAATATAAGACCATAAAATATAGGCGCAGCAGAAAGCCGTTCAACCCATCAAATCTGCTTTGCCATTCAATAGATTATTAATCTGATAATTCTTCACTCTACTTTCCCACCTTTTCCTTAACCCTTGATTGCCTTACTGTTTAAAAATTGTCCACCTCAACTTTGAATATACTTAACCACCCAGCTTTAACATGCCTGTATGGTAAAGTATTTCACAGATCCACTACCCTTTTGAGAGACGAAATTCCTCCTTATCTCTGTCCTAAAAGTGCAATCCCTTAGTCTGGTTCAAGATGTTTCCACAAGGGAAAACAAACTTTCTCAATCGACTGTCATCCCCTGAGAATTTTGTATGTTTCAGTAATGTGTCTTATCTAAGTTCCAATGAGTACAGGTCCAACTTACTCAACCTATCCTCATAAAGTTGCCCCTCCAGACCCAGTATCAGCCCTGTGACTGTTCTGTGGACTGTCTCCAATGCCAGTATATCTTTCCTTGGTTGAGGCACCCAAAGACGTTCACAGTATTCCAACTGGTCTGCCTAGTGCCTTGTGTAGTCTTAGCAAAACTTTTCTACTTTTACACCCCTCCCTTCCATTTGCCTTCCCAATTACCTGCTGAACTTGGATGATAGCTTTTTGTGATTCATGTACAAGGACTTCCAAATCCCTCTGATCTGTAGCACTCTGCAGTATTTCTCAATTTAAATAATATTCAGCTCCCCTATTCTTCTTGCCACAGTGCATAACCTCTCCTCCTTTCCCCTCATTACATTCCATCTCCAAGTTTTTGCCCAATCACATAATCTGTCTATAACTCTCTGCTGACTTCGATGCTCTCTTTCAGGAGAAATGTTGCACCTATGGTCCAGCCTAGCTTTTTCACCAAGTGATAAAGGACCTGTGGTCTCTGAAGAATTCCTTTGATATCCTGTCTAATTTTTCCCTACAAATCAGATTAATGTCCCCTTCATTGTCTGTTGAGTAGTCACTCTGCTTCTGACATAAATCACGGCACTTCAAAATTAATTTGTTGTATGCTGCCCTAGTTTTACCATGATGCACGGTTTAAATTCCAATATTACTGCAATAGAAGAGTTTTGTTCCCTGTCTCAAGTGGAGTACTTGTTCTTCACAAACTGAATCAATCTGATTTATGACTAAAGTCAGTATAATTTATACAAAAAAATTGAGTAACATGGATTCCAACCTTAATGTGCAGTAGGTAGAAATGCTCTTCTTTGCTTTAATTATTTAGAGGTTTCCCTCTATTATTCAGTATGAAGTGAAAGACTTTATTGTAGTTTCACTGATATAAATTCTTGGAGCAATTTCTCCCTTGTTAATGACTTTTTTCAGTCTCATTAACAACTAATCATAACTAATTTCTTCTCTTTCTGATATTTTTAATACTAAATACTGTTATCTGCCTAATATTTTGTTGTATTTTTGAGCAGATTGCTCTGGCTATACAGCACTGTCACTCCCTGAATATTGCCCACAGAGACCTCAAACCCGAAAACCTCCTCTTCAAGGACAACTCTCTGGTGAGTACCAAAATCAAAGGCTGATGTTTAAGTTACAACTTCAGTAGACTAGGAACATAATCTTATTCAATTCTAACACTGAGCTATAATTAAAAAGTAATAAGCCTTGCATGGTGCTGAACAGAGGTTATGCTGTTTTTTAAGGACAGAGGTGATGTACCATTTCCAATTTTTAAAAAAAAAAGTGATGTCACTTTTAAGCTAGAAAGCTGTCCGTTCTTGGTCGTGAATTGTAGATTCATGTAACAGATCACTTTGCAAATGGGACCCCTTGACTGGATTTACTTGAATTTCAGGCCAATTAACAAACTAGCAATAGCTTGGAACCAGTATGGTCATAGAGAATGCAAATTGAAGCCATATCAACCAACTGTTTACTGCCTCCACATATGTTGGCACTGGAGAATGGATACGTCCAACTGGCTTTGGGTTACTTGACGAGGACTGGAAAAGATGTGAATATCAGTGTGAAAAGTACATGAGTTTAACTGTGTAAAACACTGCATTTTTCAAATTGTCTTCCATCAATGCAAGAGATGGCAAGTATAACTTTTCTTGATTGTAAGAATCATTCTCTGCAAGTACCATACTGCCTACATTTCAACTGAGCGCACAGTTTATTGCTTGTATATCTTCTATGGCTTTCCTCATGTTAAATTTTCTTATCTACATTCCATGTGATATTGTGCTCCCAATCCCAGCCTCTTTTTGTCACAAGATCCCTCATTTCATGACCATAATGCAAGTTTCACTCATCCATGATTCCTGTCTTTACATACTTGTATTGACTCCAAGTCCAGCAATATGTTTAATTTCAAATTCATATCCTTTTGTTCAAATTCTCCTATGGCTTTGCTGCTTCCTACTTCTGTAATGTTCTTCTGCCCTACAGCGCTCTGAGATCTCTTTGTTCCTTTATTTCCTTTCTCTTCAACATCTCTGATTTCTCCATGTTTCGAAATTGGTTACTGTCCCTTCTCCTAACCTCACCATAAAACCCGCGGACAAGGGAGGCGCAGTTGTAGTATGGCGCACTGACCTCTACATCGCCGAGGCCTGACGCCAACTCTCCGACACCACCTCCTACCGCCCCCTTGATCATGACCCCACCCCTGAGCACCAAACCATCATCTCCCAAACCATCCACAACCTCATCACCTCAGGTGACCTCCCACCCACGGCCTCCAACCTCATCGTTCCCCAACCTCGCACTGCCCGCTTCTATCTCCTTCCAAAAATCCACAAACCTGAATGCCCTGGTCGACCCATTGTCTCCGCCTGCTCTTGCCCCACCGAACTGATCTCCAACTATCTGGACTCCATTTTCTCCCCCTTGGTCCAGGAACTCCCTACCTATGTCCGTGACACCACCTCCTCCAGAACTTCCAATTCCCTGGTCCCCAACACCTCATCTTTACCATGGATGTCCAATCCCTCTACACCTGCATTCCCCATGCAGATGGCCTTAAGGCCCTCCGCTTCTTCCTGTCCCGCAGGCCCGACCAGTCCCCCTCCACTGACACCCTCATCCGCTTAGCCGAACTCGTCCTCACCCTCAACAACTTCTCTTTCAATTCCTCCCACTTCCTACAGACAAAGGGGGTAGCTATGGGTACCCGCATGGGCCCAAGCTACGCCTGCCTCTTTGTAGGTTACGTGGAACAATCCCTCTTCCGTATCTACACCGGCCCTAAACCCCACCTCTTCCTCCGTTACATCGATGACTGTATCGGCGCCGCCTCGTGCTCCCACGAGGAGCTCAAACAGTTCATCCACTTCACTAACACCTTCCACCCCAACCTTAAGTTTACCTGGACCATCTCTAACACCTCTCTCCCCTTCCTGGACCTCTCGGTCTCCATATCGGGCAACCAAACTAGAAACCGATACTCATTTTAAGCCCACTGACTCCCACAGCTACCTAGAATACTCCTCCTCCCACCCACCTTCCTGCAAAAATGCTATCCCCTATTCCCAATTCCTTCGCCTCCGCCACATCTGCTCCCAGGATGAGGCATTCCACTCCCGTACATCTCAGTTGTCCTCGTTTTTCAAGGACCGTAACTTCCCCCCCCCTCAGTGGTCGAGAACGCCCTCAACCGTGTCTCCCACATCTCCCGCAACTCATCCCTCATACCCCGTCCACGCAATAAGAACCAAAAAAGAATCCCCCTCGTCTTCACGTACCACCCCACCAACCTCCGGATCCAACGCATCATCCTCCGACACTTCCGCCATCTGCAATCCGACTCCACCACCAAAGACATCTTTCCCTCCCCACCCTTATCTGCTTTCCAGAGGGACCACTCTCTCCGTGACTCCCTTGTCCGCTCCACACTCCCCTCCAGCTCCACCACACCCGGCACTTTTCCCTGCAACCGCAGGAAGTGCTACCCCTGCCCCCATACCTCCTCCCTCACCCCCATCCCAGGCCCCAAGAAGACTTTCCACATCAAGCAGATGTTCACCTGCACATCTGCCAATGTGGTATACTGCATCCGCTGTACCCGTTGTGGCCTCCTCTACATTGGGGAAACCAAGCGGAGACTCGGGGACCGCTTTGCAGAACACCTACGCTCGGTTCGCAATAAACAACTGCACCTCCCAGTCGCGAACCATTTCAACTCCCCCTCCCATTCCTCAGACGACATGTCCATCCTGGGCCTCCTGCAGTGCCACAATGATGCCACCCGAAGGTTGCAGGAACAGCAACTCATATTCCGCTTGGGAACCCTGCAGCCCAATGGTATCAATGTGGATTTCACAAGTTTCAAAATCTCCCCTCCCCCTACCGCATCCCAAAACCAGTCCAGCTCGTCCCTGCCTCCCTAACCTGTTCTTCCTCCCACCTATCCCCTCCTCCCACCTCAAGCCGCACCTCCATCTCCTACCGACTAACCTCATCCCACCCCCTTGACCTGTCCGTCCTCCCTGGACTGACCAATCCCCTCCCTAACTCCCCACCTACACCCACCTTTACTGGCCCCATCCCCGCCTCTTCGACCTGTTTGTTTCCTCTCCACCTATCCTCTCCTCTATCCATCTTCTATCCGCCTTCCACTCTCTCCCTATTTATTTCAGAACCCCCTTCCCCTCCCCTTTTCTGATGAAGGGTCTAGGCCCGAAACGTCAGCCTCTCTGCTCCTATGATGCTGCTTGGCCTGCTGTGTTCATCCAGCCCTGCACCTTGTTGTCTCGGATTCACCAGCATCTGCAGTTCCTACTATCTCTGATTCAACTGTCCCTTCTGTTGTTTGGCCCTATGCTCAGGATTTTCTTTTTCAGAACCTTTTATTGCCTTTCCAACATTACTTAAAAACTCTCTTAAAACCTCTGTGACCAAACATTTGGGTAACTGGCTTGATACCTCATGTGGCTTGGTATCAAATATATTATGTTTTTCCTATAAAAGGTCTTGAGATGCTTTGTTATGTTTTTAAGGAGTGGTTGGAATACAAGTCATTGTTGGAGGATGCAGTTTATTTTTAATTAATTTGTGTGTTGTGAGCATAGCTAGCAATGCCAACGTTTTATTATTTGCCCTGAATTGCCTTTCAGGAAATGATGGTGAGCTTTCTGTCTTGTCTGTCTGGGCTGCTTGTTAATTTTAGTAAAACAAAGAAGTCCTCCTCGCATTTTCTTTCTCTGTTTTTCCTTTACTTCTTTTCTTTTTAATTGGGACGTGGAAGTCATGGTCAGATCTGGTGAATTGAGGTATGCTTGGGTTTGCAGTTGGTGAATGGGTAAGCAGAACAGGCTTGGAAGGTACATTTGACAGTTCTTCCTGAGAAGATTGATAAGATATATGTACAGCTTTAAGTTTAAGAAATCTAAATGTAACAATCAGGCACAGTAACCAAGCATCGCACACATTAAAAATAAATGTTCTCTATACCATCAGTTAGATATGAAAATGTATCCCTAGAATTGTTTGTTTTTTATAGCAAACTTTGTTTTAACCGGCACCTTATGAACAGGTACTCTTGATTAAACCAGCAAAAATTATATACCTTAAATACTGGAAGTTTAGTGTATCGTTGCGATTTCCGTGATGTCCAAGTGGTCAGTTGAGGGTGTGAGTGAGAAGGCTTTATGCTGATAAGTTTTATTGAAGGCAAAGTCACATTATTTTGATTTATGCTGTAAATAAAGTACAACAATGATGTGTATACCCTTTGCAATACATTTCTATCACTTAGTGTGTATTTTTATATTGGTTTTTTTATGTGGACCTCTTGATCCACCGGAATAGTTGATCGACCGGTGCACTCCTGGCCTGTAGGTGCTGGTTAATAAAAAGTTTGCTGTAACGTCATTTCTTAGCAGCATACTAAGCACCAGTCGGAATGTGATGCTTGGGATTTGGGGTGGGATGGGAAGTATGGAGTGGATGCCAGTATATTTCTAGCATGTGATGTAGTTTAGGACTTGAGTTAGCAGGCATCAGAATCAAGCTGTAACTTTCTCGGCAATCTGTACTGGGAGTGTATTTCGACTGAGATTAGGGTTCTTCAATCCCTTACTCACCCCTCAAAAAAAGAGACACAAGCTATCACTGGTGAAGTTATTTTTCTTTTATATCTTGGGTCTTCAATTAATTACGTTGAATTATTCTTATGCCTCAAGCACTTTGTATTGATTTTATTTTAGTTATCTGCAGCCGTTATATTCATGCTAAGGATAACAGCAGTGTCACATCAGTCTGGATTTTCTGTTCCAATGCAAAGGTTATCTCATGATAATTGTATATCAAAAACTTTGCTTACTCTTCCCTTTTTAATTATTCTCCTTATGATCTGCTTAGTGACCAGTAACCTTTTGTTAATGTGAAATCCTAATTGCTTAGAATAAAGAAATCTATCAATGCTATCTGTCTTATACTCTAACATCCAGAGTTAAGATGAAGCAAACACACTGCAAACTGCACTTTAAATGGCTGACACAGCCAAGGCACATTTACCTGCTTACCTCCCAGCTACTCAGTCACTTTGTCGAAGACTCTGTCTCAATGACTAACTGGCTCAGTGGGAAAAGGAACAACATGGTAACTCTAGGAGCCATGTTAAATTGAAGGAGTATGAGCAGTTAGGAGCTAAATAGAGAAGCAAATTTCAAAGTAGTAATCTCTCAATGGTTACCTAAACAATGAGCAAATTGCCTTGGGGTAAATAAAGATTAGAAAGCTGACTGCATAGCTCGAAGATTAGCATGGGAGAAATGGGTTTTGGATAATAGGACACTGGCATTGATACTGAGGAATGTTAAACTCCTGGACAGCACCATGTTGGAACCAGTAATCCAGTGAATTGCATAACTAGGATAGTGCAACAAATTTTTACCAGGCTGATTTCCTGGGACAGCAAGACTGATGCATGCAGAGAAACTGCATCAGCTAGAACTATATTCACTGGCGTGTAGAAGAATGAGGCGAGCTCTCAGAAATCAGATTCCAGCAGGGCTAGACAGTAGAAGCAGGAAGGATGTTACTGTTGACCGAGGAGTCCAAAACCAGTGATCATAGTTTAAGAATGTGGGGTATGCCATTTAGGACTAAGATGAGAAATCTCTTCACCCAGAGAGTGTTGAGCCAGTGGAATTCTGTGCCACATCAAGTGGTTGAGAGCAAAACTTTGAATGTTTATATGGAGTTAGATATAGTTCTTGGGGCTGAAGGGAATAAAGGGTATGGGGAGAAAGTGGGAACCAGGTTTCTGAGTTGGATGATCAGCCTTGATCATGATGGTGGCAGAGCAGAGTCAAAGGGCCAAATGGCCTATTTCTGCTCATGTTTTCTATGTGTCTAGGTTGAGCAGATTACATCTATGTCCACTTGAGCTTAGAAGAATGAGGAGTGGTCTTTATACATGTACGATCTTGAAAGGACTAAATAAGGTAGGTACCTGGAGGATGTTTCTGCTGTGGGTGTGTGATTAAAACTAGCTGCATTGTTTAAGAATAGGAGGTCTCTCTCTTTAAGAGATGAGAATTTACTTTCTGAGAGATTCATTAGAGTGTTGAATTATCTTCCCCAAGAAAATTTAAATTTATTTCAAGATGGTAGATTTTTAATGGATAAGGCTGCCCAGGGTAATGGGATGCAGACAAAAAAGTGGGGATGAGATCACAACTAGATCAATCATGATCTTGTGGAATGGTAGAGGAGAATCAACTGGCCAAAAGACCTATTTCTGTTCCTAAATCCTGTGTTCCTATCTAACCACCTGGATGCTCCCAGCTTTGTAGCTGTACTGAATAGACAAACGCTACTCGCATGGGATCCTTTTTTGTTTGACTTCCAGTTTCATGGAGCAGGCAACTTCATTAAGTTAACAACAGATCTAGGGTTTCTGGGCTTCAACACCCTCACAAAGCTGTCACTGCTGCAAGCATCCCTGAGTCTCAACCCCCCACACACTCCTCTGAGCCTCAGCTGCATGGAGCTAATGATAGCATTTTAACTGCTGTCTATTCTGTTTTGTCACATGGACTTAGTCTGTGTGCTGCAGGTCCCAGGTCCCATTTGGTTTTGTTTTTAAGAAAACTCTCTTTATGCTGTCTTCACACTTGTTCAGCCTTTCTGCTCTCTCAGCTTGCACTTGAGGGAGTTGTAGTCCTTGCCTTTTTGTCCCCGCCATCTCCTAGCAATGCATTCTGCAGCACCTACCGCAGCATGACCCAGAGCAACAGTAAACAATGTTGAATTCCATCACACTGACGAGATAGATTGACATCCGTTAATGACATTCTCTCATAACTCATCGACCAATGTTGGTGTCCTTGTCTCTTCTACGTGACAAATGGATGACAAATTCGTAAAAACATGATAAACTAGCTATGGATTTTGCTTGTGGCAAGAGTTGGCCTCAATTCAACAGCAGACTCGTACTTTTACATCTGATTGTTAATAACTGGGCATTCAGCAACTCTGTATGAGAGAGGGCTTTATCTGCTGTTTGCCACGCTTTATGTTAAAATCATGAACTTAGTTCTATCCTCTGTACAATTAATTTATCCTTTCCTCTCCTCTGCTGCATCTTTGTTTTCACCCTTCCCTGTTACAGTTCAGCCACTTTTCTTTCTCTATAGTGAGACAGAAGCACACTCACTTTCCACCTCAAAGATGTCAAGTATTTCAACTCCTTCCATGCTTTCCAGCAGCTCTAACAACATCCAGGTTAGTAGAGCTGTCACTGTTAGTTGTAAATAAAGACAACTTGTCACCACCAGTGAATTTAAACCACTTCACGCCAAATAAATCAAAAGATTTTCAGCATCAACAAAAGGCACTTTGAACATGGAATGTAAGGGGAAGTCTCCAGCCCTCTGAGAAGTCTAGATTGTAGCTACATGCAGGCGCACTCAGTGCACAGAAAGGGCAATACAGACTAGATCTCAAGACAGTCTCCAAATTATCATAATCCTTCATGGGAATTGTTATTGATCTATGTACAGCTATGAACAATCCCAATATACAATGTGCTTCCCTATAAGTGCTATACAGAATTGTAAAATCTGTATAGTGACTTTACTCTGTTTTTCCTTAAAGGTCCAGTCATTGGCCTCTATGGCACAATATAAGAAAAAAAACGTTGGTTAAATATTGATCTTGTAATTATGATTCTGCAATGATTTTGTGATCTTGCCATTGGGTTAAGAGCAATGAAGAGATTCTTCCTCTCCAACCCATCTTCCTCATTAGATAAATGGTTACTTTGACAGGGAAAGTTTGCTGGTCAACCTGAGATACAGCAGCATACAACTGGCACTATCTACACCATGCCCTTAGAAAGGTCCTGGTGGTTGTTTGCCTGGCCCCTCACTATTCAATGGTCACTGACCCTGAAGAACCGAGGGCTCTTTTTAAAACTTAAGGAAGCAATTAAAGTGGGTTGGTGAGAAGTATTTGTTTTACCTTTATAATAATTTGGTCTCTGCAGTACTTGGTCTTTAAATCTTTTATTCCATATCCAATACTCTCTTTATAGATGTATGATACATCACCTCAGGGTATTAGATATTCAAATGAAGGAACTAAGTTTTTTAAAGACATATAAACAAAAAGAAGGAATGTTAACTCGTAATTCAAAAATAAAAGTATCCATCATACTTGGCATTGCTTTTATGGAAGAAGCTTTTCCAATTTTTTTTTTATTTTAAAATTTGGTTTTGCTCAAACCCGAAAACACAATGTTGAAATTGCTGATACCATTTTAAAAATAGAGGGTTTGGTAAAACAGTGAGAAGGATTGTTATGAGACATCACAGAGAATATAGGTAGGTTCTGTGGTCACACATGGCAGTTGCACATTATTGGAATGCCAGGTAAAAGTTGATAATGCTGTTGGAAAACGTGACATTGTAGTAATTAGCATTGGATTGCTGTCACTGAGTCAGCCCAAATTTAGTTGGTAGAATGGCCATCTGCATTGAAAATCTCATTTTGGTCTTGTACAAGGGCTAACCGATTACTTTTACATTTACTGTTTTTAATATCTGACTCTCTCTCTCGCACCTTTAGGATGCACCGGTTAAACTGTGTGACTTTGGGTTTGCCAAAATCGATCACGGGGATCTGATGACTCCACAGTTCACTCCATATTATGTAGCACCTCAGGTAAGTGTGTGTGTTTCTTTGCCACTCACGTTAGTGGTGTATGTGACCATTCACCAAAGCTTCTCTCCAACCCTCCCACCGCACCTCTCTTTCCCCCCCCCCCTCCCAAATATTGGCAGTTAATTTGAAAGGTTGTTGCTGTTAATGTTAACTATTTGAATTGTGCATTTTAAATTACCTGTAGTTGATTTCCTGTGGTATCATTCACAGACTCAGTCAGATTTCATTATTTATCAAGAAGTTTCTGTGTGAAGATTAAGATTGCGTATATAAAATAGGAAACTAGCTACTGATTGTCTTATCTATGTTCTGCACCATGTTGAATGCTTGAATGAATCAATATGTATTGAACAGGAATATGAGAGATTTTGTTTTGGTTATTTGAAAAGTTTTGTCATAGAAAATTTCATTAAAAACGGAATTGTTGAAGGGATAGGATTTCAAAGGAAGTCATCGCGAGACTGGTTATATTGAATACTTTGTGGTGTGAAGGAAAAGCATAAATGTGTGCATCACTTATAGATGTTCTTTCTATTCATTCTGGTTGAGACAGAGACTAGTGAGTGATCAGCACCTGCCCCAGAAGCATGGATCCAATTGATGAACTAGTCAGCTCAATATGCTTTTGAGTTAGAGAACAGTATCTTACTCCAATGTAGTGATGACTGTTTAAAGTGCGTGAGTTCACTCATTGACCTGTGCTTCATGAATAACAGAAAATCAAGGAGGAGGATATGGTCAGTGAGGTGATGTAGAGATTCTGTAAATGATCAAGAAGCAGTCCTGAGGTAAAGACCGAATGGAGTAGATAACAGAGGGTAATTGAAAATGAAGATTTCAGAGAATAGGAGAGCAAAGTAGTGAAGAATGAAGAATTAAAATACGTAACAGCAAAATTTACATGCAAGGTTAATGCAATGTACATGAATTTTCTAGGGATTTTCTTCTAATTTTAGAGCTGGAGTGGATGAGGAAGGAAGATAGCAACTGATTCCTCAAATGCTATGTGCCTCAAGGCACTTGACCCAAGTGAGAAATTTATGCTAGTCAGAGCACCTTTTTGTTCAAAGAACATATTAAATGTTCCCATTTCCTTGATTTTTTTTTTCCAGTTCTGCGAAGCCATGTGCTAGTTACAAGATTTCTTCTACATTTATTTTTCCAGTTTATTTTTCCTCCCTCTCTGTCTCTTGCAAAATGTTGTTCAGGTTTCCTCCTCCACATTTTAAGAATTTTAAATTCATTCTTTTTTCACCATTTCCTACAATGTAGGATACTAATTTGTTTTCTATTAAATTAGAATAACTAGTATGATACACACTATGGAGTCTTGTGTTCTTCATTTAATCACTTTTTTTATTGCAGGTACTGGAAGCCCAGAGGAGACACCAGAAAGAGAAGTCTGGAATCATACCTACCTCACCCACTCCCTATACATACAACAAGGTAACAACTTTTACAACTTTGATATGGAATATAATCTAGCACTGGGTTCAGTAGTCATAAGGAAAATGTTGCATGACTGCTTAAGTGAAATGTCACTGGCAAAATGAGTACTCAACTAATGGAATGGGCTTGCTCAGTCACTGTATATTCACAAAGAATTCTTTGTCTTGGCATACTTTGACCCAGGGTAAAAAAGGTATAAACCTGGGTAGGCGATGGCCTAGTGGTATTATCACTAGATTAATAATCCAGACGGTTAGCCAATGTTCTTGGGACCCATGTTCAAATCCTGCCATGCCTGATGGTGGAATTTGAATTCAATTTTTAAAAATCTGGAATTAAGAATCTAATGATCACCTTGAACTCATTGTTGGTTGTCAGAAAAACCCATCTGGTTCACTAATGTCCTTCAGGAAATCTGCAAGCCTCACCTGTTATGGCGTACATGTGACTCCAGACCCACAGCAATGTGCCCTGTGAAATGGCCTAGCAAGCCATTCACTACCAATCACTGCAAAGTCTCAAAGAAATGAAACCAGATGGATCACCTGGCATTGACCTAGGCGCTGGAAAAGACAACACAGAAACAGCCTTGTTGACCCTGCAAAGTCCTCTTCACTAACATTTTGGGGGTTAGTGCCAAATTTGGGAGAGCTGTCTCACAGACTAGTTAAGCAACAGCCAGACATACTGACGGAATTGTACCTTACAGACAATGTCCCAGACACCACCATCTCTGGGTGGGGTATTTCAATGTCCACCACCAAGTGTGGCTTGGCAGCGGTACCACTGATCGAGCTGGTTGGGTCCTAAAGAACAGACTTTGCACTGATTTAGCGACTCCAGACTGGCAGAGCTAAGCGATCCCACAACCAATGGATCAGATCTAAGCTCTGCAGTCCTACCACATCCAGTCATGAGTGGTGGTGGACAATTAAACAACTCGATGAAAAAGGAGGCTCCACAAATATCTCCATCCTTGGGATATTTGGAAGAGCCCAGCACACCACAAAAGGTAAGGCTGAAACTTTCGCAGCAATCTTCAACCAGAAGTGCCAGTTGGATGATTCATCTCGGCCTCCTCCATTGGTCCCCAGCATTTTAGATACCGGTCTTCAGCCAATTCAGTTCACTCCATGTGATAGCAAGAAACAGTTGGAGACACTGGATACTGCAAAGGTTACAGGCCCTGACAACATTCCAGCAATAGTGCTGAAGACTTGTGCTCCAGAACTTGCCATTCCCCTCGCCGAGATGTTCCAGTACAGTTACAACACCAGTATCTACACAACAATGTGGAAAATTGCCCAAGTATGTCCTGTATATAAAAAGCAGGACAAATCCAACCCAACCAATTACCACCCCATCACTCTACTGTTGATCATCAGGAAAGTGATGGAAGGTGTCATCAACAGTGCTATCAAGCAGCATCTGCTCAGTGACACCCAGTTTGGGTTCTGCCAGGGCCACTCAGTTCCTGACCTCATTACATCCTTGGTTCAAACATGGACAAAAGAGCTGAATTCCAGAGGTGATGTACGAGTGACAGCCCTTGACTTCAAGGCTGCATTCGACGGGGTGTGACATCAAGGAGCCCTAGTAAAACTGGAATCAAAGGGTATCAGGAGGCAAACTGTCCGGTGGTTGGAGTCATACCCGACACAGGAAGATCGTTGTGGTTGTTGGAGGTCAATCATCTCAGTTCCAGGGCACCTCTACAGGAGTTCCTCAGGGTAGTGTCCTCAGCCCAACCATCTTCAGCTGCTTCATCAATGACCTTCCCTACATCATAAGGTCAGAAGCGGGATGTTTGTCGATGATTGGTGCTGAACATTGCACATTCGCAACCCCTCAAGTTACTGAAGCACTCCATGTTCAAATGTGACAAGATCTGGACAATATCCAGACTTGGGCTGACAAGTGACAAGTAACATTCGCACCACACAAATGCCAGGCTATGACCATCACGAATAAGAGACAATCTAACCACCACCCCTTGGCATTGAGCGGTGTTACTATCACCGAATACCCCCACTATCAACATCCTGGGGGTTATCATTGACCAGAAACTCAACTGGACTCACCACATGAACACAGTGGCTACAAGAGCAGGTCAGAAGCTAGGAATACCGCTGAAGCCTCAAAGCCTGTCGACTATGTACAAGGCACAAGTCAGCAGTGTGATAGAATACTCCCCACTTGTCTTGACACCATCCAGGACAAAGCAGCCCACTTAATTGGCACTACCTCCACAAGCATCCATTTCCTCCACCGATGCTCGGTAGCAGCAGTGTGTACTATCTACAAGATGGATTGCAGAAATTCACCAAGATCCTCAGACAGCATCTTTTAAACCCATGACCACTTCCATCTAGAAGGACAAGGGCAGCAGACGTATGGGAACTCAGCAACTTCCAGCAACCAAGCCACTCCCCATCTTGACTTGGAAATATATTGCCGTTCTTTCACTGTGCCTGGGTCAAAATTCTGGAATTCCCTCTCTATTGGCGTTGTGGGTCAACTCTCAGCAGGTGGACTGCAGCTGTTCAAGAAGTCAGCTCATCACCACCACCTCAGGGCAACTAGGGACGGGCAATAAATGCTGGCCAGCTAGCAATGCCCACATCCCACAAATGAATTTAAAAAAAACTGCAGTTGAAACAGGTTTAGTTTATATTCATATAGTATTGTACAATGATGTACTAATCATGCCCACCACCTTAAAGGTAGACAAGGTTTATGATCGTGAGTCAGTGATTTCTGTGAACCTGCCATGCTTAGTAGCAGGAGGTATTGAATAATGGAGAGGCTCATCCTCTTCCAGTGCTCCCTCCTTGTAAGGTAACTGATTATTGAGGCATACCACAGGCACCTGCCTGCAATATCTCTAGAATCATTGTAGTAGTAGTTTGTCTGGCTATTGAATGGTGAGGAAATAAACATTTAAAGCAATTTGGCAAGATGTACTATTTTGTCTTTTAGTGGTCAGGTAATCTTTGCAGTATTTAGTCCCTCAGTCTGCTAATTCATATCCAATGTTCTTCAGGACATGGATATTTTTTAAAAAAGGTAAATAAACACAACAAATGTTCTGGAAGCCTCTGTAGAGTGCTGTTGATGATTGTATAAAGCAGATGTGCATTGTCTTAATGTAAATCTTCCTAAGTCAGAAATGTAACACATAGTGTAGTTTGTAACTGTAATCCTTTTCAAACTCTAAATATAAGAAATGTTTTTTAACAAAACCAGATTTTATTCCTTCTGTCAGTCTTTATTGGAAGGTATTATTTTCCTAGCTTCTTTACTTCAGTTTTTAAAAATTGTTTATTTTTTGTTTTATCTCTCTTCAAACTAACTAACCATAATGTGCAGTATTAGCTGGATAGATGAAATGATCTGTATTGTTAGGAGGGTAACACCCTTGCTGTAATAGGTGTCTTGTTGGAATAACAATTGAGTGAATTATTATTAAACTTTCCTCAAAGTTCCTCTTGTTTTCCTTGAAATAGTAAGTGCCAGTAACATTGGAGAAAATTGACTTGAACCAGTTCAGTGATGCACTACTTGATATTAAAAGGACAGAATCATAAAAGTACCTGGGTTAAAGTAGTAATTTAAGTGAAAGTCCAACTATCCTTTTATTTAGCTTTACAAAAATAAAATAGAGAGCTGGTTTGGTAGTTTTGAGTTTTAGCAAGAATAATAAACTGTTAAATAAAAAGCGAAAGAACTGCGGATGCTGTAAATCAAGAACAAAAACAAAGTTGCTGGAAAAGCTCAGCAGGTCTGGCAGCATCTGTGAAGGGAAAACAGAGTTAACGTTTCGGGTCCGGTGACCCTTCCTCAGAACTGAA